CAGCCCGGGAGGACTCTCTCGGAGTCACGGGTGGGGTGACTGTGGCAGCCGAGTTACCCGCTGAGGGAGGAGGGCTCTGCAAAGGGTATTTCCTGTTTCTTTTTTTTCTTTTGGTTAATCTTAAGCTAAGGATGTTTTTCTATTGATTTTAGGGAGATTACAAGAGAGGGAGGAAGGAGAGGGAGAAACATTGACATGAGAGAGACACATTGATTCGTTGCTTCCATCATGACCCAGCCCAGGGTTGGGGATCGAACCTGCGACCCAGGTACAAGTCTTGAAAGGGAATTGAACCCGTGAGTATTGGTCCTTGGGCCAAAGCTATAACCACTGAGCCTAACCGGCCAAAGCTCTACGAAGATGGTTTCTAACGTTTCCTGTTCATTCCACCTTTGTGTGTTGTACTGGAGCGCTCTCGCCTGTGCGTACTGAGAACAGTACTGTGACGCCCGGTGTACGGGCCTGTGACATCAACTGTGACGCCCGACGTACGGGTCTGTGACATCAACTGTGACGCCTGGTGTACGGGCCTGTGACATCAACTGTGACGCCCGATGTACGGGGTCTGTGACATCAACTGTGACGCCCGATGTACGGGGTCTGTGACATCAACTGTGATGCCTGGTGTACGGGTCTGTGACATCAACTGTGACGCCTGGTGTACGGGCCTGTGACATCAACTGTGACGCCTGGTGTACGGTCTGTGACATCAACTGTGACGCCTGGTGTACGGTCTGTGACATCAACTGTGACGCCTGGTGTACGGTCTGTGACATCAACTGTGACGCCTGGTGTGACGGCCGGTGACATCAACTGTGCCGCCTGTTTACGTCTGTGACATCAACTGTTGGCTTGTGTACGGTCTGTGAATCAACTGTGACGCCTGGGTACGGGTCTGTGACATAACTGTGACGCCGGTGTAGGGTCGTGACATCACCTTGACCGTGGTGTATGGTCTGTGACATCAACTGTGACGCCGGTGTACGGGCCTGTGACATCAACTGTGCGCCCTGGGTCGGTCTGTGACATCACTGTGACGCCCGGTGTACGGGTCTGTGACATCAACTGTGACGCCCGGTGTACGGGCCTGTGACATCAACTGTGACGCCTGGTGTACGGGCCTGTGACATCAACTGTGACGCCTGGTGTACGGGCCTGTGACATCAACTGTGACGCCCGGTGTACGGGCCTGTGACATCAACTGTGACGCCCGGTGTACGGGTCTGTGACATCAACTGTGACGCCCGGTGTACGGGCCTGTGACATCAACTGTGACGCCTGGTGTACGGGTCTGTGACATCAACTGTGACGCCTGGTGTACGGGTCTGTGACATCAACTGTGACGCCTGGTGTACGGGCCTGTGACATCACCTGTGACGCCTGGTGTACGGGTCTGTGACATCAACTGTGACGCCTGGTGTACGGGCCGTGACATCAACTGTGACGCCTGATATACGGGCCTGTGACATCAACTGTGACGCCTGGTGTACGGGCCTGTGACATCAACTGTGACGCCTGGTGTACGGGCCGTGACATCAACTGTGACGCCTGATATACGGGCCTGTGACATCAACTGTGACGCCTGGTGTACGGGCCTGTGACATCACCTGTGACGCTGGTGTACGGGCCTGTGACATCAACTGTGACGCTGGTGTACGGGTCTGTGCACAACGTGACGCCTGGTGTACGGGTCTGTGACATCACCTGTGACGCCTGGTGTACGGGCCTGTGACATCAACTGTGACGCTGGTGTACGGGTCTGTGACATCACCATAGTCAAGCTAATCACACCCATCACCTCACACTGGCTCCTCTTTCCTGCTTTTCTCTAAGGTGAGAACAGTTGAACCCCAGCTCTCGGCCACTTCAGAAGGTGGACAGGAGACCCCAGATCAAACCCTCTACCACCAGGGTCTGTGCCCCTTGACCTGCCCGCTCCATTCACCCTGTTGTCACAAATGGCAGGACTTCCTTCCTTTTGTCCAAATCACATTCCATCAAACACACACACACACACACATACATACACAAACACATACACACACAGACATACACACTTACACGCACATATACACATATACACACAGACACAGACACACAGACATATAGCCACATACACAAACATACACACACACACAACACATACACACACAATCACATACACACAGACATACACATACACGCATATATACACATACACACATACATACACATATACACAGACACCCACAGGCATACACACACATACACACAAACACATACACACAGACACACACATACTCACAGACATAGACACACACATACTCTGAGACATAGACACATACATACACACATACACACAGAGACGTACACACACATACACATACACACATACAACACATACATTCACACAGACACACACACAGACACATACACACAGACACAAACACACATACGCACACACATACACGCACATGCGTACACACATACAGACACATACACAGACATACATACACACAAACAACACATACACACAGAGACACATACACACATATATACACAGACACACACAGACATACACATACACTTACACAGACACACAGACACACAGAGACACACAGACATACACACATCCATACACAGACATACACACACAGAGACATACACACACATAACACATACATACACAGACACACAGAGACGTACAGACACATACACCCACAGACATACACACATATACACATATACATACTCAGACACATACACACACATACCTATACACACAGACACATATACACATACACACATACACATTTATGCACACACAGACACAGACACACAGAGACACATGCATGCACATATACAAACACATATACACACACAGTCATACACATATGCACACATACACACACAGACATACCCACACACATACTCACATACACAGACACACACAGACACATACACACGTACACACACATACACACTAATACACGTACACACATAGACATATACACACAGATACACACAGAGAGATATACACATACACACGTGTGAGCACACTGTGCACATGCACACATACATGCACACACATGTGTGCGCACATGCATACACACACACACACTGACAATGATCTTTGTTTACCTGTTGATGGACACTGAGGCTGTCCCCATGTCTGAGCTGCTGGGAATTTCGGGGTGCCGATATTTCCTCACGGTGGGATCCTGTTTCCTTGGGGGATCCCCAGCAGTGGGGTCGCTGAGGCTCCGGGGTCCCGGGCAGTGTCCTGAGTGACCTGCACACTCCTCTCTGTCGTGGCTGCACCACCTTCGCTCCCGCAGCCGTGCGCGGGGTCCTGTCCCTGGAGGGACGTTCCAGAGGAGGGTGGCGTTCACATCCGTGGCTTTGAGGGAAGCAGATCGCAGACCACCCTCCCTGACCGGACGGTCAGTGGGGGCTCATCCAGACCTCCCGACGCAGGAGGACGTGTGTGTCCATTTCCCTTCCTCTGCTGTGTTAGACCTGGGGCGCGACAGTCATTTGTTCCGCAGGGAATCATGTGTAGGACATACAATAAACAAGACAGTAGTGGGACACTGTTCCATAGCTACTACGTATGTTTGCTCCCCATGGCCCTGCCCTCCCGAGGTGACTGACTCCTGCCACCTTCTGTCCTCATCGACCTCACTCACCACACTCCCTGCGGCCAGAGTCTCGTGGCCGATGGAATGAACCGATTGCATCAGAAGAGCCGGGAGCCCCGACCACGGCCCTGCAGAGACGTCACAGGCCTGGGCTCACACGTGCTCCGTGTCCCCTTCCAGGTGCATGACTGTCCGCGATAAGCCGGGGAGACTGTGTGGAGACGGTGGGCCCGGGACACGGACAGAGCCGATCCCTGCAGCTCTGCGGAGGGAAGGGGACGGCGCCCCGCCCACTCGGGGCAGCAGCGGTGGAGGGTGGTGAGTGGTCAGCTCCCGCCCCTGCACCTGCTACGTGTTTGCAGCGTGGTGGGCCTGGTCTAACAACATGCGTCCGTCCTGGATTTCCTAAAGCCAAGGGCCCCTGGGAGAGAAACAGAGGGGGCGGCGTGACTGGAGGGCCCCGCGGTGCCCTCGCAGGGTCACTGCTGAGCCTGGAGCTCCTGTGGGTCCAGGGGTCACCATGGTGGTGGAGCCCAGCCCCCTGGAACGGGAGGACGCGGACGGAGCCCAGCACACAGGCCCTGCGGGAGGGGCTCTGCCCTTCTGGGGCCTCAAGGAAGAGACGCGCTCGGGAAACAGCTGTCTCTTTGCGCACAGACAGGACACGGGAGCAGCACCCACACATGTGGGTCCACAGAGCACTGGGTGCGGCAGTGTTTCCTGGGCCCCAAAGGCTAAGCGATGTTGTGGGGTGACTTGGGGAGCTGGGACCTGGGGAGACTGCTCCCAGGGAAGAGTCAGGCCAGGTTCGCCCACCTCACCTACGGGAGATGCTTCCATGTGTCTTCCTCCCACCGCGGGGAGAGAGGGAGAGAGACGGGAGGGGGCGAGGGGTGAACAGATGAGGACAGAGCACAGGGATTAGAGGGTGATGTTGGGAACGAACTCTGCTGAGTTGAGGGAACAAATATTCCATGTGACCCATCACCTCTGCCCCCAGGTTTCTCTAGAGGGACGTGAGCTCTGAATGAGGAACAACCCCCAAGGGCGGCACCTGGCTGACGATCCCTTTGGGAGTGGCCACCGGACACACGGACAGGAGGGATCGGAGCGCCCAGAGCCAGGAGCCTGGGGAGCCGTGGGTTGGCTCTGGAGAAGGCGCCTGCGCACACGCGTGTCCCCCTGTCTCCCCAGGAAACGGCCCTGCAGTCCATCGCCCCGCGTGTCTGAGCCCAGCCGTCCCGCCAGCTCCGGAGGCCCTGTGCTCGCGTCCTGGGGGTCTCAGCGGGGGTCTGTGGAGTGACAGACCACCCCGATCAGAGTCCCGGCCCCGTGCCCATCGCCATCTTCTCAGGGGTGCCCCGCGGCAGCGCCCGGCAGATGGCTCAGGAGCCCAGGGATGACGCCATTGCCTTCCATTGTAGAGTGCGCCCCCTAAGTAATGGGTCTGTGTCCCCAAAAGGGGCAAATGCCCCTGGGAACCCCAGAGAGATAGTCCAGTCTCCTTTCAATTACATGATCATTGTTATCCATGTGGCTCTGTTGGCTGGCCTCTGTGGGTTGGTGGGGAACGGGACGGTCATCTGGCTGCTGGGTTTCCGCCTGAAGAGGAACCCCATCTCGGTCTACATCCTCAACCTGGCCACCGCGGACTTCCTCTTCCTCTCGTTCACCATAGTTGTCGCGCTGCTTTTAATTAACAACACTGGGGATCCCATTGAGCTCATGCTGCCTGTGCTGTCCACGTCCTACCTGGCGGGGATGGTCCTGCTCATGGCCATCAGCACGGAGCGCTGCATCTCCGCGCTCTTCCCGATCTGGTACCGATGCCACCGCCCGGAGCACCTGTCGGCCATCCTGTGCGCGGTGGTTTGGGGACTGTCCCTCTGTCTGGGGACCACACGGCTTTTGTGCATCTATTATGAGGACTTCCTGTATCGCCAAAGCCACCTGGTCTACGTTGTGACGTCCTTCCTGACCCTGCTGGTGCTGTGTGTGTCCAGCCTGACCCTGCTCCTCCGCGTCCACTGCGGCTCCTGGCGGAGACAGACCACGAAGCTCTACAGGCTCATCCTGCTCACCGTGCTGGCCTTCCTGGTGCTTGGGCTGCCCCTCAATGTCGGCTTGTTCATCAACCTCTTCTTCCCCTCACTGTTCGATTTCCACCGCTACGAGCCCATCTTCTACGTCCTCTCTGTCCTGAACAGCGCGGTCAACCCCCTCATCTACTTCTTTGTGGGGAGGCCGAGGCATCAGCAGGGCCCGATGTCTCTCCGGGACGTGCTCCAGAGCGCGCTGACGGAGGACGCGTAGCTGAGCAGGTGAGGCCCCCGTCCTCTGTCAACCCTGCTGTCCACCGGGCACGGGGAGGGGCAGCTGGGCTGGACCCCGGATCTGACCCTGAACAGACCACCTGTCCGGGATCCATACTTTCTTTTCTTTCCATCTTTATTGTTGAGGATATTGCAGACTTCTCTCTTCTTTACCCACATTGCCCCTCAGCCTGGTTGTGCCCCGCGCAGCCCTCAGCACCCTGTTGTCTGGGTCCATGGGCCAGGCCTGTGCACACACGTCCTGTGGTCAGTCTCCCCCACCCCACTCCCCTGTGAGATCGTCAGTCTGGCCCATGTTCCCATGACTCTCGTTCTGTTTCATTCATCAGTTTATCGTGTTCGTGAGGTTCCACGTGTACGTGAGACCATGTGATACTTGTCTCTCTCTGACCAGCTTATTTTGCTGACATAACATGGCCCAGGTCCCTCCGTGCTGTCACAAAGGGTGGGAGAGCCTTTTTCCCTGCTGCATAGTATTCCACTGTGTAACGACCATCGTAACTGCCCACCGAGGGCCTGAGTGCGTTAGGAGAAGTGAACATGTGTGTGGTGTCCACACTGTGCCCTGAGGTCACACGCGGGCCCCTGCACGCTCACGTCCTGCCCCTCGTATGTTCCGACGAGGTCCCTCCCCCTCGCTGTGTTTCTCCAGCGTCCCCAGCCCTCGGAGCAGGGCCAGGTGGACACCAGGCAGGAAGGCCTCTGCCCTGACACCCCAGAGCCCAGTGTCTGTCTCTGCTCTGCCTCCTAACACTCAGTGCTGCTATTTCCTTCCCCTGAGCATCACGGGGAGCCCGGGCCCCTGATGTCACTGTCCCCCTCTGTGTGTGTCTCAGGTGACATTCCTGCTCCTGCTGCAACAATGGCTCTCACTCTCCATATATACGGGAGCGAAGATTCCAGTAACCTGTCCAAGAGGAAAGTTATGTCTCTCTCCGTGGGATGAGTGTGCATGTGTGTCTGTGTGCATGCATGTAGGCGTGTGCTGAGCACACTTGTGCGCGTGTATGTGCTCACCTGCAGCTGAGGGTGTGCATGGTCCCCCCTGTAGCACTCGGTGCACAGGTGATACGTGGGCTGAAGTCAGGAGCCCGCTTCCCGTTCACACCCCAGGACACTCTGGTTAGGGGGGTGGTTCTGGTTGGGGGAAGGAGCCCGTCCCAGAATCCCACGAACCCCGAAGTCCACACCCACAGAGTGATGCTAACAAGACGGCCTCCCCGGAGGGCGGCTCTGAGTTCAAGGGCATCGATGTCCTGAAACCACAGGAAGCACTGTGAGGGGCGTGGCACCGTTACCCGTGGGATGGAATTCTGTCCCCTCATCACAGTTGACACGTCTGTGTTGTCGGCTGCAGGGGAGACGTTGGGGTCCCCGAGACAGGGCGCAATAGCAGATCTGTGTCCAGTGCACGAGGAGCAGACACGCGGGTCCTGTGTTGACCCCGTGATTGGATCCTGAACTGACCGATTCATCTGCGTGTCTCGAGTGCCCACCATGGGGGACCCTAGTGTCAGCGTTGGCGAAGTGAACTGTGACTATTGTGCAGGGAGAGGAAGGCAGCATAGACTCTTCCCCGTTGCTCCTTGTCCCCAACCTCAGAGGTTACGGGACTCACCGCCGAGACCCTCCCGACACAGGTCCCAGCCCTGCAGCGAAGGTGGATTCTGCGGCCAGTCGGGCATCAGAAGGAAGGTGCTGGTGTTTGTCTTCCTGAGGACGTACCTCACTTACCCACGATGCACTAGGGTCCTTTGTTGAGCCTTGAGATTGGATTCTGATTCACCTGTGTATCCCGAGTACCTACCACAGGGGACCCCTCTCCACCTGCTCCCAGCACCTGTCGTCTGCTGATTGACAGGTGACAGTCGTTCTGACAGGTGTGAGGTCCCAGCTCACTGTGGTTGACATTTCATCTCTGATGGTTGGTGACCTTGAGCATCTCCTCACATGTCTACGGGCCATCGGTACGTCCTCTTTGGAGAAATGTCTATTCAGGTCCTCCGTCCATTTTTACCTCGATAATATGATTCCACGTATATGTGGGATCTAAGAAAATACTAAATAAATGCACAAAACAGAAACAGGCTCACAGATGGGGAGACACCCTGATGATCCCCGGAGGGGGGGGATGGTAAGAACAGGGGAGGGACACAGAGGCGCACGTGGCAGTTACCAGGCGGTCACTGGATGTGACGTCCACGCAGGGCTTGCGTCAGGGACCCTGCAGTTACTGGGCGTGGTGTCTGATGGGCCACACTCATCAGGGGGTCACTTTGTAGTAACTATTTAATCAGTGTCATATCCCGGAAACGCACGCACTGGTGAAGTCAGCTGTAATAGAAAATAAGTAAACAAATAAATGGTATGATATTGCGTAATAATGTAGAAAATAAAGAAGTCTGTGCGGCCGGTTTTCTCAGTGGTTAGAGCGTCGGCCCGCTGAGTCACGGGTTCAATTCCTGTAAAGGGCACAGACCTCGGTTGCGGTTCAGTCCCAGCCCTGGTCAGGGTCGTGCGGGAGGCAACCAGTCGATGTGTCCCTCTCACATCGATGTTTCCTTCTTTCTCCCTCTCTCCCTCTCTGTCCAAAGATAAATTGAAAAACATCCTCAGGTGCGGATTAAAAAGAAATGAAAAAGAATAAAAAAGAAAGAAAGAGGTTGTCTGTCCTGCGGGTGATGCCCCTGGAGCGGGTCCGCGGGACGGCCCGTGCGCTGTCCTGATGGGAGGGGCTGAGGCTGTGCTGGGTGACAGGTGGTCTCTGTGGCGGTCAAGGCCCGGGTCGTGCTGTCTGTGGCCTGTGGCCTCTCCCCAGGCTGTCCTTCTGCCTGAGCCCCCACCCTGCCCTGCCCTTTGCTGCGTCCTCCTGAGCCCGGTGCTCAGCTGGACAGTCTGCGCCCCGAGAGCCTCTGCCACTGGGCAGGAGGGTGGCAAAGTCCGGCCTGAATGGTGGGGCCACTCACAGGGCACCCGGACAGGCAGCGGGGCCCTAGAGCCTGCAGGGCTGGTGACGTGCTGGAGGCTGGCCTGCGGGTCTGGCAGGATGACAGCCAGGGGACATCTGGTTGGTCTGGGTCAGACCGGAGCCCACATGTTGGGTCAGGAGGAGGGGCCCTGGGGGGCAGTGCAGGGCCGTGGACAGGAGGCTCTGAGGGCCGGGTGTTCGGCTGTGGCTGCTGTTCTGCTGGTGGCCCCGGAGTCCGTGTGTGTTCTCTGCGACATTCCCCTCATCGGCCGTTCCTGTGCCGCTGTTTTATTATTTTATTCCAGAGCGAGGAACATCCATGTGACGCACGCACCCTGACCTGGGACACACCCTTCAACCTAGGTCTGTGCTCTGACTGAGAATCGAACCCGCAACTGTGTGTGCTCCTGGGACTAGAACAGAAGGGGGGCCGCTACTGTGCTGCTCCTGGGACTAGAACAGAAGGGGGGCCGCTACTGTGCTGCTCCTGGGACTAGAACAGAAGGGGGGCCGCTACTGTGCTGCTCCTGGGACTAGAACAGAAGGGGGGCAGCTACTGTGCTGCTCCTGGGACTGGAACAGAAGGGGGGCAGCTACTGTGTGTGCTCCTGGGACTAGAACAGAAGGGGGGCAGCTACTGTGCTGCTCCTGGGACTGGAACAGAAGGGGGGCAGCTACTGTGTGTGCTCCTGGGACTAGAACAGAAGGGGGGCAGCTACTGTGCTGCTCCTGGGACTAGAACAGAAGGGGGGCAGCTACTGTGCTGCTCCTGGGACTAGAACAGAAGGGGGGCAGCTACTGTGCTGCTCCTGGGACTAGAACAGAAGGGGGGCAGCTACTGTGTGTGCTCCTGGGACTGGAACAGAAGGGGGGCAGCTACTGTGCTGCTCCTGGGACTAGACAGAACAGAAGGGGGGCAGCTACTGTGCTGCTCCTGGGACTAGAACAGAAGGGGGGCAGCTACTGTGCTGCTCCTGGGACTAGAACAGAAGGGGGGCAGCTACTGTGCTGCTCCTGGGACTAGAACAGAAGGGGGGCGGCTACTGTGCTGCTCCTGGGACTAGAACAGAAGGGGGGCAGCTACTGTGCTGCTCCTGGGACTAGAACAGAAGGGGGGCAGCTACTGTGTGTGCTCCTGGGACTGGAACAGAAGGGGGGCAGCTACTGTGCTGCTCCTGGGACTAGAACAGAAGGGGGGCAGCTACTGTGTGTGCTCCTGGGACTAGAACAGAAGGGGGGCAGCTACTGTGCTGCTCCTGGGACTAGAACAGAAGGGGGGCAGCTACTGTGCTGCTCCTGGGACTAGAACAGAAGGGGGGCAGCTACTGTGCTGCTCCTGGGACTAGAACAGAAGGGGGGCAGCTACTGTGCTGCTCCTGGGACTAGAACAGAAGGGGGGCAGCTACTGTGCTGCTCCTGGGACTAGAACAGAAGGGGGGCGGCTACTGTGCTGCTCCTGGGACTAGACAGAACTAAGGAATCTGAAGATTTCCCTGACCCTCCCCAGGACCCCGAGGGTTCGCAGAGGAGTTGGACTTGACAGAACGCTCCACCTGGCTCCTCTGACCTGTCGCAGTTGATGTGCCCACGGCCCTGGCAGCCGGGCTGCTGCGTGGGCTCCGCTGGAAACTGGACAGTGTGTCTCCTGGCAGGGAGCCAGCCACCTGAAAGGCATCAGAGGAAACCAAGCTGGCACCTGGGGGAGGAACCCCAAGCAAGCACGAGGGTGCTCCACGGGTTTGGCCTCCACCGAGAGTCTGGAGAAGCTGAAATGATCATAAAGGCGCAGTGACTGAGGCCCTTGTAGATACCGGGACACGGTGTCTGTTCCTAACCCCGCCCCACTCCGCCCCCTCCCTGGGAGCAAAGCCTCTGTACAGATGGCGGGGTACCCCACCGATGAGAGATTTTCCATCAGAACCTGCCCTTCAACGAGGGAACGTTATGGAACCATAAATATCTTTGCTGATAAAATCTGCCCCGAGTGGGGGGGAATCTGCCCCAATTCACTG